CTCCTCCAAAAAATAGTGCCTCGTTGGAAAAGAATTCCCAGTTGTCACCTGAGACAAAAGAGAAGTGATCCCTCCAATTTTTGTTGTGGGAAGGGTTCCCAGTAATAAGTGTTTTCTTTTTGTCCCTAATTGTAAAGTACCATCAATCATTCATCTTCTTTGGAACATAACAGTAAAGGAATTGGCTCATGGTTAGCAAACCATTACCACAAGCCCGCCAAAGAACCATGCAGCCTACCATCGTCCTCCAGGCATTGGAGGAAAGTTGAGTGGGGCCAATATTGAGATAGTTGAGTATCTCTTTGAGAAAAATGGGTACGAGAAAGTGTAGACCAGACAAGAAGGCAAATTCATAAAAGCAGACCTCACCTGGATTAGGGGTGCAAGCCCTCTTATCGGGAGAAGGAAATCGTAGGCGAACATTGTTTGGAATCGAGTATGATAGTTTAAAGCGTTCTAAATTGTGAAGAGAAAGTGGGCATTTTATGTCATGCACTCTTTGCGCAGGTTTTTACGCAAAGGAGGCGAACCATACTCGGATTTAGAGCTTTGTTGGCTAAACTCACTATCTGTGTTATCTTCATGAGAGGATATGCTAAAGGGCTAAACAAATCAGCAACACCACTCAGAATGCCGTATAAACGTCTAGCCTCACTGCTACCAATAAAGTTTTCGAATAAAGTCTCTGATGGACCAAAACAGGTAAAATAATAACAACGCTTGAAAAGAAAGGCAGATGGGAAATTTGAAGAATCTAGTATGAAAGATAGAGATAGAAGAATATTATTCAATATAGAAAATAAGAAACTTACCAGCTCTCTACCAGTTGCTTTGAAGAGGATGATTAATTTCTTCCTCCAAGGTGATTTATAAAGAAGAAATAACGTACGAAATTGAATCCTCATGATATGCTTGAAAGTGGTTAAACTCGAGGACATGTAGAATTCAAATCATGTAAGAATTCTAAAGGTACAAAAAATATATATATAAAGATATAAAGCTCTGTTCGTACACTTTATCTAGAAAGCACTGTTTTTATATAAAAATATATTGTTATATAAATATATAAAGCTCTGTTTGTGTGTCTTGTTGTACACTTTATCTAGAAAGCTAAGATGTAGGGTAGGTGAGCAGGCGAGCAAAGCTTATCTAAAAAGCTATGGCGCTAGAAGGGCGAGGAAGCAGGTCAGTAATTTATTGTGCAACAGTTTTTTTAAAGAAAAAAGATAACTTGGATGATTGATAAGTCAAATATTTGATGTCAAGAAACGTGATTGGCTCGCCCTTTGAGGTAAAATTTCAACTTCTTAAAATGCAATAAAAGTGTTGTTAGGAGACAATCATGTATAGCATTGTTAGATGGATAATGACAGATTTATATTTAAAATGAAAATTAAATGCATGAAAGTCAAACTTATGACTTCAGGAAATAAGGTTGGCTCGTTGTACTAGGAAAAGTAATCACTTTTTATATGAAAGTGCAGTAAGCTTTAAAAGTATTGGTAGGAAACAATTACTTTTTATGTGGATAAAGACTTATCTATATATAAAGTAAAAAATTAAATACATTCATCTATAGTAATTGTATTCAAATAAAATTCTTTTTGATGTAGGCTGATCTGTTTATATAAAATTAAAATTAAATAGACGACTTGTAATGAATTGTGTATCGTTCTCAATTTTCAACACTTAAGAATTCGGGAACGGGGGGCAACTGATGAGGAAATTTGATATAGAAGCTGAACAGGTTGATTATGGATAGGATAAGATAAGATAAGATAAGGTGATTAATATTGTTCGCGTTACAATTTCAAAAAGTAGTTTTGATATGATAAGGTGAAATTGTGATTATCGGCAAAGGGTCTCCTCAGAAATTGCAACAAACTCCACGTCGGCAAATTATAAAAAGGAGGCAACCCACCAACCAGTGAGGTACGGTCAATATTGAACTCCACTTCATTAATTGCTCACTTTATTTCTTCAGGAAACTAACTTTGCCATCGGAGGTTGTTTGGCAGGCACCCCACCGGTGTCAAGATAAAACGTTGTCGTTCCGAATCATTACAAACCATTCATCATCAATAGCAAAAGACTTTCTTTTCCCATTCTTTAAGGTGGCAACTTGTAACTCATTTTCCAATTATATATTTGTAAAAAAAATTGACAATTTTTATTATTTTGTTATATTAGGTTGAGGTGTGTAGAAGAAAGTTGTTGGCATGAGCGGTGTCAGTAATAGGTATGTGTATTCACATTTCTTTGTGGCATCATAATTTTTAAGCAGAGGGTTGGGAGGAGGTACTTGCTAGGATTAAAGGGTTTAAGTACCCGCCTGCTTCAGCATAGGATAATCCAAATGGGGTGAAAACTCTGTTACCTTTGTCTTGTGGTATTTAAGTTTTAAATTTTGTGACTATTTGTTTTTTTTCACTCATTAGTCACATTTTTTTTTTTCCTTTTTTTCTTACCACTTTTTTTGCTTACGACAACAAACCTTGCCCGAATGGAGTGATAACACTTTTTTTTTTTTTTTTTTTTGCTTACAACGACAAACAGGAGGAAAGGAACTGGCTTCATCAGTCAGGTGTTTTCCGACGAACCCAGCTAGAAACCTCTTTTGACCCACGAACCCAAAATATCAAGGTAGGACTCATGTTGGCATTCAAGTGAAGTAAGGCATTTCAACTCTGGTTCATTTTACTTGTCAAATTTAGTGTATGTAATACTTTTCCTTATAGTGTATGTAGTATTTACTTTGTGTCAAATCAATGTGGTGAGGATTGTACACCACCATATCATCATATAGGGTAAAGTGCAAAAAACCCCCTTCAAGTATTGGCCATGAAGCAAAATACCCCCCTGATCTACTAATTTGGCATATAACCCCCCTGAACTGACCAATTTGGTGCAATTAACCCCGTCCGGTGATAAGTCGGTTGAATTTGACCGTAAATACGCACATGATAGGTCACGTGACTACCCAAATTTCTTTAAATGACCATACAATCCTTTTTACATCTAAGGCCAAGAAGAGAAACATTGAAACCCAACCCATCATCATGTCACCACTGTCAAAGTATTTCCTTCATCACGTATTGCCACCGGAAAATCGCAGTCATCCATGCTCGCTGTTGTTCTACGTCGCCAAAACCAAACCTTAAATTGCAGGTGCCAATAGCTCCAACCACAGCAAAAATTCTATACTAAATTTAGTTCAACCTAAAAAAAAAAAAAAATTATTAATAATATTAGCCCACCCCAAAATTAACCCACCCAATCAAGCCCAAGTCAACTCAGCCATCATACTAAAATAAAGGCCCAAGCCTAATAAGCCTCCCCAATAGCCTAGGGCCTCAAAATTTAGGGTAAAGTGCATTTAACCCCCCTGTTAACTTTCAGCAAAAAACACAAAACCCCCATAAACTAAAAAATGCCCCCTGATCTATTAAAAATGGACAATTTAAGGACAAAATAAATAGTCTCCGGCATAAAAGGTCACCGGAGATGTTTGATTACAAAATTACCCTTTTATAAAAGGACGTCGTTTTAGTGTTTGATGGGCTTGTATTGCTGATGTGTCAAACAAATTGTGAACAACCAATAATATTTAGACAACTCATTATCACTTTACCAAAACTTCTACGCCAAACAGAGTCAGCGCCGAACCAACCAGTGAAAGTTAAGCTTTGAAACCCTAACTCATCTATTGCAACACCAATATAGCTACTGTACGAACCTCCCCCCTCCTCCCTCTTTATCTCTTTCTTCTGTCTAACCTTCTCTTCCCCTCTCTTTCCTTTTCATGGCCGGCGATGGAAGCACTGCTCCGGTAGTGGTCATCGGCGTCGCGAAAAAGCGACCACAAGGTTGCGGCTACGTAGGTGCATCACAGCTTGGAAAGGTCGACTTCATGGCGACCCATGTCCAAACCTACTACTTGGCGACCTTGTGTCGCCATGGTACAGGTCTCCAAGTCACCGGAATCGCCCGGCGGCCAGCTCACCACCACCATCAACGTGGAGAATTTTCCTCCTATCGAGACCTCTGCATCAACAACTTCAGTGTAACACCGCTCCTCTTTTGCCGGAGACTTTAGTGGTTTGGCCGCTGCTAGTGCACCAATTTTTGGCCGCTGCGATTGCACCGTTAATGCTTAGATCTTCTCTCTCTATGTCAATTCTCTTGTTTTATTACAACCAAGAACTTGGGCCGGAACTGGCATACAATGGACCGGGACAAAATTCGGAAGTGGGTTCGAATCCCTGTGTGAGATCGTTCGAGGTACGTAGAGTCGCCGGCGAAACGGCAGTTGTCAACATTGACGGTGATGGATTCAGTTGAGCCACAATGATGAGGTAGTGGTGGATCGGAGAGAAGGAGGCTGCGATTGCGAGGTTGATGAAAACAGATCCGGCGGTGGTGGATCGAGCTCGAAACGGATCTGGGGGAGACAAGAAAACGGTTGTGAGAACATATCCGGCGGCGATGTGATGAGCTCTGGTCCGACGGCTATGTGATGAGCTTTTGGTAGGCGCGGTGAGCTTGGACATGGAAAGCTCGGTGACGGTTCACGGGTCTTATCCCGGACCTGTCTCAGTGTGCGAATCTCTTCGTTTTGTAGTTCCCGGACAATCAGTTCACCGGTGTCGTGCCTCCGACGCTGAGTTCTTTTCCCAAATTGGTGAATGTCTCGTTGTAGAACAATAAATTGCAGGGTCCAATGGCTGTAATTTGGGGAAAGAATTTAGACATAGAGAAAGAAAGAGGGTAGGATTGGCATTTTCAATTTACAGCATATGCACGTGACTATTTTACGGCCAAAATTTATTGGAACAGTGTCACCTGACTTTTTTTTGAAAAAAGTGTGATAGTTTAGGGGGTTTTCTGTTAAAAAAATAGTTCAAGGAGGTTTTTTTGGAAGAGAGAGTAAAGTTCAGGGGTTTTTTTGCACATTACCCTCAAAATTTATAGGTATTTTTAGGGCAAATAATTTCAGCCTCCCCAATCGCATCATCTCTAATCTCAACGAAACGGTATCCTTGGAGCGAGGCTCTGTACCACCAAGTTTGTAGCTTAGGGTGGGTCACGAAGGAGTTCTGACTAGGGAAACAAAAAAAAAAAAAACAGAAAAACTCTGAATCGGAAAAAGAATGAGTCTCGTTCAGAGGGATGGGATGAGGCGATTGTGGAGGCTGAAATGATTTGCCCTAAAAATGTTTATATTTTTTTCTGGTGGCCCTGCACTCGGAAAAAGAATGAGGGTCGTTCAGAGGGATGGGATGTTTCTAAGGGTGGTTGCCCCTCTCTGTAAACGATGATCTCCTACAAAATGAGGGATGGGAGATCATCTAGAGCCAATGATTTCATTTCCTATAGAATCAACAGCCCTTTGTGTATGTATACTTCTGATTCTTGTAGATTTTGTAGTTTCCATCATCAATCATCATTGTAAGAGGCTGTGATGATATATGTTCTGAGTGGATCATACTGGCATTGAGAATCGGATCCGTTTGTTGGCGGGGCAAACCAGAGGGTATGTGGGAGAGAGATTTGGTTCTTCTCTCACAGGCAACTGTTGTTGCAGCCAGGGCGGTGGGATATACTCTTGCCCTCATCAAAACCAGATCTGAGCCTCTCAAATGTATTTTATTGAAAATTTTCAAAAACAAAAAAAAAAAAAACTCTGAACTTACCCTCTCTCTCTCTGCAACTGCAAAGTACAAAATCTACAAGAATCAGAAGTTCAAAACCCATATATTTCAGTATATCTATCAGTCAAATTAGGGCAAGTGAGGCGGCTGAGAGCAGATCTGAAATGGGGATGATGTTTTCCGAAAATCTATGGGGATTGTTGGGCAGGGAAGCATTATATACATATATGTTGTAATTGTTTGCTTCCCTACTCCACCCATTGCTATTGTTTTCGGTGTTCTCTCTTTTCTTGTTCAGCTTCATATCTCTTTTACACACACTCAAACAATCACACGTATATGTATGTATGAATATATTGTTTATGCGTGTTTGCGTATCGACGCCGGAAAGTTGTGTGGGAGGTCGATCGAGTTTGTCGAAGAGAAAGTGTAGCAAGCGAAGGAAATCAATCAAGCAGCGAGTTTTGTCTCATTTGTCTGATCGATCGTTGGACAAGGTCCACAAGTCTGCCCCTTCGGATCGCTCCCATAACAATCCCACTTTTCATGGTCCTCTCTCTGTCTCTATCTCTCTGCATACTCATATATATAATAATGATTAGGAGTTTCAATTTTTTTTTTTTTTTTTTTTGAAACTGCAATTTGAAATTGAATTTTGAATTTGAACTGTGTTTTATGGAGTTTATGGTTTGGATTGTGAGAGAAAGATGGGAATTTGGACTAAGCTAAGCTAGCTGCATTGTGTGAAGCTGGTACTCTCTTAACATAAAGATGTACAGCTTTGGATTTGGGAGGAATTCTTATAAGAACTGTTACTTTTTGGTTTCAACATTCAAATCATTACATGATCATTGACCTTGAAATTTTTTGAAAATTGCCTGACAATTTGGTGGTCCTTTCTTTTTCATAATTCATGAAATTAGGATGTTCAGGGTAAAGTTTGTAGAGTATTTCAAATCTTTTCCATGATTTGATTTTGGTTCTACATTTCCCTGGTAGATGAGCTGATGGTGTCTTTTTTAAATAGATATGGATGCAGTTCTTTAGTTGATTTGTTAGCTATCAAAGACAAATAAGTTGATCACATCTCAAATTGGAGGCTTTGGTGAGTCCTCTCAAGGCTTGTTGGTGAGCCAAGGACTGAAAACTGTACTTTGTGGAGATCACTATATGAGTCCCAATTCCCTGTTCAAAGCCGTGGGAGATGCGTCTTATTTTGTACAATTGCATCTGGGTTCAAAACTTGGTCTGGTTTGTAGAAAACAACATGAGTGCCTTGTTTGAAGATTGATAGTGTTCAAGATCTTGTAGTTTGGAGAAAGGGATGGGGAATTGTAATATATATATTTATATATATGTAGTTTGGCAATAGACATGGTAAAAGTAGCTTCCAAATATATGGGAGTTTAATGGGATGATGTTATGTATAGAAAACTATAGCTGGTTGATAAATTAGTGATGCATTACTACAGGATATCGTATGTTGCAAATAGCATTCTCTAATTTTACTATAGTTTTTAATTGCGCTTATTGGGTCCGCAAAGAGCTTAGGGGCAGTAAACACTAGAAGGTGGATTATACATGTAAATTGGTGGTTAGGGAAACTGCACTCTAAATTATTAGCTTAGTTATACAGAGATAGCTACCATGCAGGTATTCACAGTGAGGATGTTACATAACATTAGGGCGGTGATTGATTGCTGCATTTGGTGCCTTGGAAATATGGTTTTGGTAAACTTCTTAAGGATGCTACAAAGACATCCTTTTGTGGCCTGATTTCAAGTTCTTAAGAAGTTAAAAGTCATGTAAAGTTAGATATGTTGGATCAAGAATACAGAATTTTAGTTTTTTTCCCTGTTCCATAGAAAACAAGCTTCATGTGTGTATTTTCCTTTAGTACATCTGTTATGCACAATCCTTCCCAGTTCATACCACCCCAGTGTTGTTAAGAGTGCGCCTGTTGTGTGCCCAGGTGTGCCTTTGACAACATTTGCACCTTTAATATGGAATATGAATATGTTTTAACAGTAATTTAATTTTTCAATAGTGTGCCTTGCCTTGCGCCTAGGCTCCAAAGGACCTTTAGCGCCTTAGTGCGCCTTGGGCCCTTGATAACAGTGTACGACCTAGACGCTGTTTATGGCTAATGAACATGCAGAAATGTCAAGATCATGGCTAGGTAGAGAAACAAAAAATTCTAAAGGCTTCCTTTACAATTTTTTTTATTGCAGTACTTTTCTAATTCTGGTTTCTGTTAAATACTGTATCATTTTTTCAATGTGTCAAATTGAAATATCCTCGAGATAGTAATCTGCCACTCTAGTAGCTGCAAATGCTGCTTTCCTGATTTCTGTCACAATGTGATAATACTGACAGGAAGTATTGAGGAGGCATGGTTTGATTCTGCTGCCATACTTGACTCTGACTGTGATGAAGATTTCGAAAGTGTCCTGGATGGTAAAAATATGGAAAATTTAGTTTTAATCATGTATTTTAACTTCATGTTTCTTTCGACCTTCTGATTGACCTGTTATGTTGATTTTGAACTATGGATATGTTTTCTGTTCTCAGATGTGCTGTCTCAAAATGGATTTGAAGGTTCATCTGTATAAGGTATTGCTTCTCTAAGTGATGGTGATAACAGAGACAATATTTTCAATAACCTATGCACCTCTACAACTGATCAACTACATGGACCAGGGTACTTAACAGCAGGAAATTCTGCACGCAACTCTCTCAGTGAGGTTGCTAAAAGTTCAATCCATTCAAATGATGTTGATTCCAAATATAAATCTGAAGGACCTGCAAATGAAGCAAAGCAACCAGTGTTCCTTGATGAAATCTCCTCCTCTGTGGATGAAAATGGTGGCTGGGAGGAAGGAGTACTGGAAAATTGTGGACTTCTTCCAAACAACCTGTGTTCCTTGTCTTGCTTCTACTCTCCCTTCAGTTGAGAAGAGAAGATCACTAAGCTCTAGTCCACCAAACTCAACTGTTTTTGGTTTAATATAAAATACAGTCGATGGTATCCGGATGTCTCCTAGAATTGGAATTAATCAATAGTTCATTCTTCATCTAATTTTTTTTTTTTTTCATTTTTTTGGCTATGAGGTTGCGAGGTCTAATAGGCTTTTATCCCCAGTTGAGAGGTGCTAATGCTGTTTGCAACATCATAGTGGATGTATGTGTAGTTACTAGCTACATCCGTCCTTGTGCGGGTTATGTTTTTGTTGAGTAACACAGTGTTGCGAATTTTGTAGCATGTGCTTAATTATTGCTACTTATGACTTCCTTTTGGTTGAGCAACGAGCAAGTTGAAGTGACATTAGGTTTGTTAAATATCAACAATTCTGGAAAAAATTAGAATGTAGTGTTTTTCATGCTTCCATTCTCAGCCATGTTTCCGTGAACTTTTTACAGGGAGAAAACTATTTCGAGCTTGATGTGGATATGCACCGATTTATTTACATCTCTAGGAAAGGGTTTGATGCATTCCTGGATAGCCTAAAGCACTGCATTTTGGATGTTGGCCTTACAATTCAGGCAAGTTCTTCCAGTACCCACCAAGTTTGAGTGGCAACCCAATATTAAACTATCCCATTCTTCATTACAATTTTTTCCTGATTTTTGCTTTTTTTTATATTGCATGTTATTATTAATATTACCTTTCGTTTCTGTTATAAACCAGGGGAACAAAGCCGAAGAGTTGCCAGAGCAGATATTATGATGTATACAATTAGATAGAATTGACTGCATGAATGATCAGAAACTGGGTTACAGTCAACAGTCCATTTAAATTGTGCACATACACTGTAAGGCTCAAAATTAATATATTAAATAAAAGTATATTTTTTCTATAGAAAACTTTCATTTGTGCGAAGTATGTGCGTGTGTACTTGTGTGTTGTGTGTGCGCGCGCGCGCACACACATATTTAACTGATTTTTGCAGGACAGTCCATTATTTGGTACGCATTCCACTTGAATAAATATTTTCGAACATCCTGTTTCCTGCAAGGCTTCTCCTAGCACAGATAGATTCTTGGTGCGGTGTTTGAAGTGTAATTTAGTACTTATTTCGTAATGTCTGAAAAATTCCAAGGACCAAATCAGTTAGGCATAACCTATAATTACTTTGCAAGGGAAACGGTTCTAGATAGGGAAATGATTCTAGATTGGGTTGATTCTGATGCATTATGCTGCTATTTTCAAAATGAAAAACTGCTTTCGATACAGATTCATACTTGCAGACAAGTGTATAATATATAAATATAATATGATAAAAAATGTCAGTGTTCAAGACTTACAAGGACTAGGAGGTAACCCTAGGTTTCCGGAGAGGGAAACGAGAGGGAGGTAAGGTATCCGAAAGCCGGAGAAACAGTTACCAAAATATTAGCTGAAGGACGGCATTTGGCCAGATTAAGCTTGATGGAAATGGGATCTCTCGCTCAAGATTGCTGAGGGAAAGATCAATCATTTCCAGAGCCTGCAAGTTACAGATCTCTGCTGGTATTTGACCACTAAGAGAATTTCGATGAAGATCCAAACTCACCGATTCTGTCAAGTTACCAATCTCTGCTGGTATTGCACCAGAAAACTGGTTTGAATGCAGATGTAGTCGTGTAAGATTTTCGAGGCTTCCAAGACTTGCAGGGATCTTGGAGAGACGTGAGAAGTGCCAGTGAAGGAGAACCCACCTTCCATAGTAGTCTTCTGGATAGGACAAGCATCTACGGAAAATAAGCCTGGGAGATTGATCTCTGTCACTCTACTGGTTGTGTCATCGCATGTAATGCCTTCCCATGCCCAGCAATTCCCGCCACCGCTCTGCTTCCACTTATTCAGCAAGCTCTGAAGTAGGGATGACAATGGGGCGGTTTGGGGAGGGTTTCCCATTCCCCATCCCTGCCCCCGTTTAATTTTGGTGCCCCTGAAACCGCCCTATAACCAGTTAATTTTTTGCCTCTAATTCCCATAACCGCCCCCGCTCCGCCCCGCCCTCACTTGCCCCGCCCCTGCCCCATAACCGATTATATTTTTAGGGCAACTCAAGTTAGCCTCCCCAGTCGCCTCCATCTCTATTCTCGTTCTCAACTCTGAACTTGCCCCCTCTCTCCCTCTCTCTCTTTGCAACTGCAAACTATAAAATCTACAAGAATCAGAAAGTCAAAACCCATATATTTCAGTTTATCCATTGTCTGCAAGAATCAAAAGTTCAAAACCCATATCCAGATTGTTCAAGAATCAAAAAATCAAAACTTTGAACTTGCCCTCTCTCTCTCTCTCTCTGCAACTACAAACTACAAAATCTACACTCTCCAACGACTCATCCGGATCTGGTCTGACTCGATTCGATCCCGACTTACCCACCAACTCACCGCCTCCCAAACTCACCCAGTAGCCTCCAGATTCACAGTCAAACCAACCAAGAAGTTTGGACATCACAATTCCTAGCTTCTTTAGGTGTTCAATCTCACTGGACGTCATGAAATCCCCTGTGACTCTCCACGGCGGAGTCACCAATGACCGCTTCAGTATCCAACGCTGGCCCGACGACGGCGAACTCACCCACAGCCTCCAGACCTCGTCCCCAACCACACTCTCCAACAACTCATTCGGATTTGATCTGGTCTGACCTCGTCCCCAAAATGAAATAGTGGATGTATTTTGGGTTTGAGAGAGAGAGAGAGAGAGCTCAGAGAGAGACACGGCTGCCGCTGCTATTGAAGTGTAGGGTTTGAAACTTAAGTGCAAAATTTCCAATATATATATATATATATATATATATATAGTGAAGGTTAATTTGGTAAATAGATTAACATGACAGGATAAAGTAGTAATTTAAAATATTAAACGGGGCGGTTATGGGGCGGGCATCTTAGTCCCCCGTCCCCGCCCCGCAACTGGCCGGTTTTTTTTTTTAACCCCCATCCCCACCCCATTTAAGTAAACGATTCTCCAAACCCGCTTTAAATGGGGCAGGGGCGGGGCGGGGCGGTTCCCCACTGGGTTGGGGATTTTTGCTACCCCTACCCTGTGTCAGAGCGTATTCCATTCATGAAATCAATCAAGCCCTTCAGGTCACTTAGGCTACATGTCTTAAGCTTACGAATACCGTACTTTGCTTCTCCAACAGTAATGAGAGTGAGCATTGCAATAACCCATTGTGTCTGGACAGATCAATGAAGAAGATCACAGTCAGTGTAGAGACTTCAAACAAACAAGGATAAGACGCTAGTGTTGCTCAAAAATCTCAGTTATGCCTTTTCTTCTTTACAGTTACTAGTCTATAAGACGATAACACACACACACACACACAAATGTTTCTGCATAATTGATTGTTAATTAGAATTGTTATGTTGCAACTCTGTTTCCTCAATCCACTAACAGCAAGCCTGGTTCATCCAAAAGGTGTTTGGTGATGATAAATTGATAGATTATTGTTGTTGTTTTTTATGTACTTAAACAAAAGTTCCCCTTTTTTCTTCACTAATTAGGTCTGACTTTTGAGCCCTGTTTGTCTTTGTGGAATTTCAAGAAGGATGTTACTATGATGAGTATTGTTTAAACATGCATTATAAATAATCTAGTTTACTCGTATAGATTTCGATCATATCTTTTATATCTTTTATTTTTTCAGTGGAGGTTGAGCGTTCAAGTCCTACTAGGAATAATATCATGAATGGCGCGTTTGCTTGAAGCTTTGAAAAAGAAAAACAATCACAAGTACCGTTTACTCTATCAAGAATTATAATTCATGGTGGAAGCAACCTGTCTGTTATATATATGTGTGTGTGTGTATGTGTGCATATTTAAACATATCGCAATAATTCGTACTTTGTCAAAAGAAGAAGGTCTAGCAATCACAAGATTCACAAATTGCTTCCAATAGATAGGTCTCAAATTGTTTTATTTTCTTATATATTACTAGTATAAGTTTATAATCATTCTATTTATTATTATTATTTTTAATGAATATAGAGATTTAATAGTGGGTTAAAAGATTTCTATCCTTTTCTCAAAATAGAGGTAATTCTAATTGCAGTATGTCCATAGAAGCAAGGAATTTATAAATTTTAGGGCAAAAATCATTAAACCCCCACTACTTTTAAAATTTGATCATAAAATCCTAATTTGTTTTCAAAAACCCTTACACTTTTAAAAAGTGACCGCATTGCCCCAATATCGGAGTCCGACCCATTTATCGGGCTGTGAAATAACAAATTTGACCTTATTATTTAATGTTAAATTAAAAATTAAAAATTATTTTTTAAAATTACAAAATTACCCATTAGTGGAACACTTTTGTTTTATTGTTTACGTACCTATTGTTGCTGGCGTGGCAAAAATAATCTGAACATCCAATAGTATTATGACAACACTCACTTATCACAATAACCACTTCACACTATTGCCAAACACGGCCTAATTACACTAATAATTTTAGCACCAAACACGGCTTTACCCACGCTCTCTCTCTCTCTCTCTCTAAGCTATCGTCCTCCCGCAGCAGAGGATAGTGTCGACCAATAACAAACTCCGGCGGCCGATTTCGCCGACCAGTTGGGTCTTCAAGGAAGTTCACGATCTGTATGATGCTTGCCATAGATTTTATTGATTGTGTCTGTTTCTGATTCATCAGAGACTTCACTGGTTTTGGTCGCTGCAATTGTGTAGTTGATGCTTAGAGCTTCTCGCCGACAGTCATGGAGTTTAAGGTTGTGCTCTCATCAGTTTCGATGCAATTGCATCATTGATGCTTTAGAGTTTCTTCGGCGATTTCCATTATCATCACCATGCTCACCCGGGTCAACTCAGTTCCCACCAAACTTAGTCTCAAACTCACCAAACACAACCCTTAGCTGTGTGTGGTGGCCTCTGCAATGGTGAATTGGGGATTGTTGTAAAAAGGATCGCAAACGAATCCTGAAACCAGAGAACGCTCATATAGATACCAACGAAGTATACAAATTAAAACACAATTACACCTCTGCAATGGTCGGGCAACTGGTGGAGACGGCGGTCGGCTTGATGGGTCGTCTTCTTCACAGTGATTCAATAAGGAAACAAAAAGTTGAGAAAGCGACTGAGTCAACAGCCATGTGAGATCGCAATAGTCTCGAACAGCCAAACCAAAGGCCACCACCACACTACCATCCGCATCGCCGGAACCGCTACTACCATTCCTACCTCACAACCACCACTGGCGCCACCGTTACCATCCAACACCATTATAAACGCCTCCACCACCACCTCCTTCTACCCCTTCCATTGAAACCCTAATTTCCCACCTTCTTCATCACTGAGTACCCTTGTCGTTGCCACCATGTACCTATTTGGTCCTTCTCTTTATCCCAATTAGATCCCAATTGCTTAAAATTCTGTGATTCCAATTATAAATTTGATGATGGTGGCACTAATTTGATGATGGTGGTTGCGGCTTCCTCGCAGTAGTGATGGTGGTGTTTATGGAGTGCAATGGTGGTTAGGGATGTGAACGGCGTTATTTGTGCCTGAAAGGGTAAAATCGTTATTAAAAAA